GGTTGCCATTTCCTCCCCACCTGCAACACTGGGATTCAGGCTTGTTTTATTCTATTGAAACGAAACCTCGTTATTTTTACAGTTACAAATGAAGTACAGACCCTAGGCCAGTCGAGGCGAGTCGTGTGAAGAGAACAAAAGGAAATTCCGCGGAAACCTTGTTGATGCCTATTTTAGGGCAAGGCATGACGAAAAAACGATGCTGCTTTTCTTACGTTTGATTTCAAACAAAGAGCACGTTTTAGCTAGTTATTTTTCGTCATCTTGCTTTGTGTGAGCTGTACCCTGGACTCGCCTCTTTAAGAAAACGCCCACAGAAAACGTGGAAACCCGGCATTTTGCAGGCGGTTAAAAGGATTAATGCAATGGATGACTAAAAATAATGGCTTTTAGACTTATTTGGATAAAATTCAACGTTTCTCCATGAAATCCATATTTTGTGCATGTTTTGATGCACTTGAAAGGGCTATAACTTCAACGAGTCAACAACCATCGTAAAACTTCTCGACATTTTCCATAAGTGCGATAAGAGGTACAGCATTATACGGAAAATGTCCCCCGGATAACAGCCTCCTTACTGACATTCGCACTCGAATCAACATCGTCATAACTTTATCTAAAACCTTGCATGACTTGTCTGCAACACAAACAATATGACTCGCGTTTGCGACAGACGAGTCAAATGTTCCCACGCTGTTGTTATCAAAGGTCATCGAATGTAGTTCGCAGCTGTGGGAGCCCTCAAAAACACAGTCAGCCGTTGTCTCTGAATTTTCACTTTCACTTTCGATTTCCATGTCGGATTCGTCGCTTGAATAGTACGACTCAAGAATGCTTTTCAAGCCACCAAGGTAATCACTGTCATTTCTTCCCAAGCGATGATCCGTAGAACGAATTTCTGAACTGTTCTTTGAAATTCTGTCAATGCAAATATGGTTGTAAGGTTGTTTGCCCTTTTGAGAAGGAGGAAACGTTTTTAACATCTGCGCTCCAGAACCTTCCTGCGAAGACTCAACATCCTGTTCAAGCTTTCCGCATTCATTTTTTCTTCGCCTTTCACTGCACGTTTCTAAATCGCCGTGTATCGCTTTGTCCTCTTCTTCATCGATTTGTCTGTAAGTCGCCAACGATTGGGTGAATTCTGTCCAATCACTGACAACAAAGCGTAAATATTTTGTCAGATACTCCAGAAATCGCGTCTCTGATGAAATAAGAAGATCGAGAAGTAACGAGGGATCAAACCCAACTGATTCGGTGAAAGCAGCAAACAACCAGTGCGGGTTCAGCTGTTGTAAAATTTTCATGGAAATTTCATCGCTTGGAAAATTCCTGAAAATAAATTTGGCAAAGAAAATGTTAGAAGAAAAATATACAACGTTTTACACAATTGGAAGTAAAAAGTAAATAGACTGGTGAAACAGAGGAAGAGAATAATGTTTTATTTCCACCCGTGGACTGTTGAAAAGAGAAAGTCACTTTAAATAACCCCTTAAGGACACAAAATTCGAATGTGAAATCGATCTTCGCAGTAATGAACACTACTTAAACAGTAGTGAAAATATGGCCTGAAAATATTCAGGCCTGTACGGGATTTGAACCCATGATCTCTGCGATACTGGTGCAGCGCTCTACCAACTGAGCTGGTCATTACGTTGGTTCGTAATAAACCTGTGAAGTGGTGAATCAATGACTGTGAATATGAAAATCATATTTAAGTGAGCTGCGCATTAAGAAATGTATATGAAATTGATCCTGTACAGGCCTAAATATTTTCAGGCCTTATTTTTCACTACTGTTTAAGTAGTAAAAAAAGCACAGCAGAGCATCATGCTTCATAAGATCACGCATGACCAGTCGACCTGATCGCCTGAAGAAGACTAGTAGTATGCAGTCGAAACGTCGCGATCTACATCACACGTGACTACATCTTGAGACAAACGAAGAAGTTAGCTTTTATTGTTTAAGTAGTGTTCATTACTGCGAAGATCCCTTTCATATTCATTTCTTGATCTGCAGGTCACATATATGATTTCCATGTATTCATAGTCATTAAAACAAAATTTGAAGTAAACGTGTACTTACTGAATAAATTTATATAATTTATATGATACCAAGTATTTCTCTTGCAGTTTTACGTCATTGTTACCTTCGCTTCCCCTGCCGGATTTTTCGCTTGAACAATACGGCTGTGAACAGTACGGCTCTAATCAACACTTTTCAAGCTGCTAAGTTGATTGACACTGATTTTCTACAATATAACAACTGGAAGAGTGGGATGCAAAGCCTTAACGTTGCCCTTAAGGTAAGTTTCACTCCAAGGACTGTTGAATCTCCAACCCTCGTCCATACGCAAGGAAGTGAAAGTTGCCAACAACTGCAAACCACAGCTGACTTTAAAAGACATAACATCCTCCTAGGAACAAGGGCCCACTAAAAGACCGCCAGATATTTTCCCTTGCAATTTCTGTAACAATACCCGAAGGGGTTTACTTATTAAATACACATTTTAAACAAGATTTCAAAACTCTCACTTGTGAAGTTCTTGAAAAAGCAATAGGAGAGCTAACATCAACTCAACAAGTTCATCATCCTGGTCAACAAACAGTGCTATGAGACTGGTGGAAAGTTCTGTTTCAATGGAATTCTGTGCAGATGACTTGCTGTTGAAAGGATTACCACAAGCAAGAGAAAGAACATCCCTGCAACACAGGTTCACACAAGATAAAGACAGCTTCTGGATTAAAAATGAACCTGAAAAGACACATGAAATAAATAAATATTACCATCAATAGTCTTGCTTCTCTGAGCCTTAATCATCTCTACCCTCAACACCCTGACAACATTATGGATATTCCCTTGCTCCATAGGCAGTTCCTAAGGTGCTGAAATGGAGAATTTGTGTAGTTGGTGATCATTTCCTTTATTCTCATGACCTTAATATGTGAGTCAGGGTTGATAATGTAGGGAGAAATTAGATTCTTGTCACTCTTAGAGGTCAAAGGGTTAAAAGTAATGCAGTTTGCCACTCAAACCTGTACATACCCTCCTGCTGAACAGCTGATTTTAGCACAATGAAAGCAGATTTGAAAACCATCAGTGAAGCTTTCCTCAGAGCTAGTAAGTCAGTCCTTTCTGTCTGCCCAGTAAGTCCTGGATGACTTTTTATTTCTGTTCCACTGAATCCCACAATTCCTGAGGGGTTCCTGGGTATTCTGGCGAGGAGACAACACTCAACAGCACTCAGGAAAGAGACTGAAGGGCTCCTTAAGATTTTATGTAATTTACTGTCTTTATTTTCATGTGTAAACAATACTGAGCTTGGAATAAATAAGACATTGTACAAAATCTCCAAAATCTTTTTAAAAATCAGCGGTGGAAGTCTTGGGTGGTGAAGGTACTGGGTCAACATAGCTGTAACAATGCAAAACTGATTGACAGTATCATCTATTGTATCAGTACTTATCATTCTTGTTGCAAAGATACTACTGGAGTCCCATTCATACAGTTTGGCTGCTATGTGTCTGCTACCATTGGTTGACCCAAATTCTTGGGGTCCCAGGAAAGAATATTGTTCTCCAATGCAGCTTTTCAAATCAGTTACTTCCTTATTTAGACATGCTTCAAAGTTGAAATTCATGTATTTTGCAATTTCTGCCATAAAATGAAGGAAGGCAAGTAGGTTATTCTCTTTTGCCCCAAAAATGGCTTCTTTCTTCAAATTTTCTTGTTCATGGATGGCATCTCCTAATTTCAGACTAGCCCAAAGTACAATGAAGTCTTCAGCTAGCCCTGTATGTTGACAGTTCTTCATAAAAGAATACATTCCATTGGGTCGCACAATTAAAGGAACATATAGAAAAAAAATATGTCTTAAATTAACACTCCCCAAAAGTACCTCTACTAATTCATTTCTTGAAAGACTAGTATCTGTTAAATTATTTTCAGGAGTAGTGCAGGAGCAGGTGTGACCGACTGTGCCTTCTATACGTTGCTGATAATTCCTAGGACTCTTTGGTGTCTCCCGTGCGTTTTTGAGAATATTTTGTAACATTTCCATGACATAAAGCTTTTTCCAAGGATGCTCAGTTTCTTTCCCGAAGTCAAAGAGTTTCAGAAACCACTCGCCTCTTATAGTTTGCTTAGAAACCACTTGAAAAACCAACACAATCGCTTTAGTTGCAGAGAACACAACATGTTGGTTGCTATCGCCCAGAAGTTTTAAGAGACAGTCTAGTAAGTCGTATTTGGAAACAAGATCATCTGTTATGACTTTCAAATATGGGCAATTAATAGTTTCAAACCTCTGATAAAGCTTCTGAACTACAGTTAGAGCCAGTAGTAAGTTATCCACCATTGCATGATTTATCGTGAAGATTTCAGAGATTTGTAGCCAGTTTACAAGTGACCTCCAAATTTCTTTCGCACACATCTCCTTGAAGCAATTGTAAGTGAAAGCTTTAAAATATAGCCCTTCTAGTTTATCCATAACCTTCAATTTACCTATAAGGAAATCATTTCAAGAGAAACAACAGCTCACGCACAACCGTCCGCCATATCATGACTGTCACAATCACTTATCGTTACACGATGTAAACAGGGCAACCGCTCTTTCACTTTCTCGCTTTCTGGTCGACTGCTGGCTCATAAGAAAGAACACATGCGCAGTATATACTTCCTGTTACTGCACTTTAATACTTTGCGTACAAAATGTCCGGTCCGCGCAGACCACCTCCTCCCATACCAAAACCAGGTATGTGCTAAAATACACTGATTTTAGCTCATTTCGCGAATTATTCATGTTGCTTTTCTGTTTAATTTACAGGTCATGTTCAAGTCGTAAGAGCTTTGTACAATTACACAGCTCAACAGGTAAGGATCGTGTAAAAAAATTTCAATACTTGAAAGCTTTCGAAAGTTTGCCGTAAACAACCGCTTTGAATAATGTAGTTTTAGAAAATGCTCGATCGCGCAAATTAGTTGTTATTTTAATACTTTCTTGTGTTCTTTTGTAGCCAGATGAAATCAGCTTCGAAGAAGGAGATATTTTGTACATAATCGACAGGGTATGGACATAGTTCCCGGTATTCATATGTTTATTTAAAATGTATCGCCTGTTTTATATTACAAAGTCTCATATCGTTGAAGTAGGGCGCACCCAAGATTTCCATTACCACCTAGCCTTGAATTTAGGGGTTTTATTTTATGCTTCAGATTTTGAATCGGCTGGAAATCGAATCTATGCCTTCAGCTAGCTTTTATTAGCGTGGAATTGAGTAGAACTATGTTAACGACCTGTATCGTTTCTGAGCAGCTTAGTGGTGTACAGGAATGTACATTATTCCATTGACCGTGCAGATCATAATATCACTTCAAATACAACCATTTCAAACAAAAACTGAACTTTCTAAGTAGCTAGATTTTGATGTTTTAAGATTTACCATGGAACCATATGCTTCAGCACAAGGTTCTGTGGAAGAGACTTTAAGAAGTTAATCCGCTACAGCCTTGTAGCAGTTGATCCTTTGCACCCAAAAATGGGTATCCATACTCCCCATACAGTCCTTTGAACATTTCCTGTGGTGCTGATATGGAGAACTTGTTTAACAACCAATGGCTTCTTCAGTTGGTGATCATTTCCTTTATTTTTGTGACCTTAATGCTTGATTCAGGGGTGATATTGGAAAGAGATATTAGATGCTGGTCACTCTTAGGGGTAATGTCTGTTTTGTTACACTGAATTTAATTTTGGCATGAAATCTTGATTACATGTCTGTAACAAGATTATTCATGTTAAAAGATCTTATATATTCCCTTTGTCAACTCTTGATTCTGACACCTTCATCAAAATAGGGCACTGGTCCATGGTGGAAAGCAAAAGTTGGGGGCAAGACAGGATTGATACCATCTAATTATGGTGAGGGCTCATACTTTCAGTCAGATACATTATAACAAGAATTAATCATGTTTACATTCTAATCATTAGAGTTACCTTTCAGAACTTTCTTATCAACTTTCAGTACAATGGGGTGTATTTTTTTATTATAACAAGAATTAATCATGTTTACTTTTTAATCATTAGAGTTACCTTTCAGAACTTTCTTATCAACTTTCAGTACAATGGGGTGTATTTTTTTATTATAACAAGAATTAATCATGTTTACATTCTAATCATTAGAGTTACCTTTCAGAACTTTCTTATCAACTTTCAGTACAATGGGGTGTATGTTGTATGATGTTAGGAGCCTGTTTGCATAAATTTATCCTTTTGGGATTATCATGTTTCAGTTGGTGAGCACACTGAATCAGTAGAAAATCCTCTACATGAAGCAGCAAAAAGAGGTAGTAATATCTGTGTATCCATAACTTGTATGTGCAGTGAATATTAAAGAATTTTAACTGTATTGCTCAATACACAAAAAGATTGACAAGTACTTGTATGTATAACCATTCCTACTTGCCAATACATGTCTGAATTAAATTGATTTATAGTAATTGTAAATTAAGACTGAATATAGATGAGGTTTTTAGATAATGAATCCATTTATTTCCAGCTATAAAGCCAACTAAATACTCCTTACTTCTATCTTCTCAGCCAGTAATTTTGTCTGATCCACATGAAGTGTGTTGTAGTTGAGTTCTAGTCAGGTTAGTCAGAAAGAAGAAGGAGTTAGACATTTTCAGTTGTTAGGATTGTATGTTTACTTCTTGTATAATCAGCAGCCTGATAGTCAGAAGTGTTTTAGTATGCACTACACCATGCTGTTAAGCATCATGCATCAACAGTTAGCTTCTTGCTAGGATTAAGTCTGATGCTTTCTTTCAATAGCAAATCATACATTAACCCTTTAGGTCATAACATCAGCATACATATTCTCCATACTGTTCTCTATACATTTCCTATAGTGTTGACCAGGAGAATCTGTATAACAATCGAAAGCTTCTTAAGTGATCATTTCTGTAACTATTGTGTCCTTGTGTCCTTTGTGATTCAGTGATGATATGTTAAGAAGAAATTAGATTTTTGTCATTTTTAGGGATCAAAAGATTAAGAAATAATTCTAAATATCAAGATCTTATGAGTAACTATTTTATAAAATCAAGATGATAACAAGCATCATTCTGTTCTGGTCACTATTTAAAAGGCAAAGAGGCTGGGACTACTGAACATTTCAGTCTTATTCAATTATTTCTAGGCAACATCGGCTTTCTTCAGGAATGCCTTCAAAACAAAGTAAGATCATCGCATTTGTTTTTTCACTAGATTTACTTACAACCAGAACTGTTTAGAAAATGAGTTCTTAGAGGAGCTCATATTAAATAACAAAGCACTGACAAGGTTACAGAATAAGCCATCAACTCTTGCAATTGCTAACAATCTCTATGAAGAAAAATGTGCCAGCTATTCTGAATGCTTGAGGTAAGGTTTTCAGCATGGAGGTGTGACATTGTGCCACTTGTCTTGTATCACAGTGTGGTTAAACTAGAAATCCTTTGAAAACCCTGCAAAGGAATAATTTTCTTATGGTGTCATTTTTTTTATTTATTTTTTTAATTAACTTTTGTTTGCTCTACAGGTATCAGTCAATGGCCTTGACAAGGCGGGATCCACCCCTCTTCACTGGGCAGCACAAGGAGGACACACAGGTATATATCTGTCCTTTTCAATGTTATGGAAGTTCTATGGCTTAGAGGCAAACTCGTGATTTCGTCTCTCCCTATAGTTTACAGTTACTCTAGGCTAAATTTAGCAAATTCCTTTAATCATGACTCAGACTATGACCTTTTATCTCTGAAATAACACACTTCCTGTGAGGTTCAAAGCGTGATTGACAGTAACATAAACTGAATATTCAATGATACATTTCCAACTTCTTTGTCTGCATGTTGCTGATATGAACAGAATGGTTTTAATTTTATAGAGCATAGTGTTACAACTAATGGTTTCTACTTCATGACTGATTGGGACTCAGGTAGTAGTTTTTTGATGAATATAATGTACTTTTATAATTCAAAACAGAATGTGTAAAGATATTACTTGCCCAGCCAAGAATTCAGATATCAGTTCAGGTATGTTCTTTCATTTGGCTTGTTAAATTAAGCTGACTTGATGCAACTTGCAAATTTGATTTCATTTTTATGGGAGTTATTAATTAAGGTGAACTTGATACTAATTTTCTTGCAGAACAAGCTGGGAGACACCCCTTTGCATTCAGCTTCATGGAAGGGTCATCCAGACATTGTGGAGTTACTGCTAGAGCGAGGTACTGAACATTGCAATCTTTAGTATAGGATAGGGAGTGACAAGGAAATTGAAAGGGTTAAACCCTGATTAACTGATACTTTTAATGAAAAAATAGGGGCAAGAACAGACATACAGAACAATGAAAAACAAACTCCTGCTGACCTAGCAAGAGATCCAGATGTTGGTAGACTGTTACGAGGGGCTGTTGGTAAGTAAGATTATTTTCTCTACTAATTGTGAGGTCAATGAAAAATTGCATATTTTTGGTTTACTAAAAGAGTTTAAATTAATCTCCAATGAGTGCTACAGTTTAATTTAAGTTGGTGCGTAACAGATGCTGCTTCATTTTGCTCTTGACTTGCATTTTATGATGATCAAACTAAACAATACCAATTAGAAAGTGTCCTTTATGTCTCAGAAGCCCCCAGTGCAGACGATTATGGTGAAGAAGAAGATTCTGATTGAGATAACTTGATAAAAGTTTGTTTTAATGCAGCAAGAGGAGATAAAACTCATTAGCTAGTAAATAATAATTATGTGAAAGGACATTTTCACATCAGCATTACACCAGCACAGTACAGTTGTTTCATGTCACTGTTTTCATTCTCAGCATGATGTATACTCATAGGAAATTTCTATATTTTTTTCATTAACATCCTTGTCAATCAGTGATGAGGGTATACCTAATCTGTGACAAAAGATACATTTTAACTTTTTTGTGTAAAGATAAGCTTGTCAAACACCTGGTACCTTGGTTTATGCAGTGAGTATGGTTGGAGGGATAGAAGGCAATTTATATTCTTCATCTTGCTGGAAGTTTGTGTACTGCATTATACATTTTAGAATACGTAAAATCCTAGAATACATATTCATATGATGATAAAAATAATTACTTACAGTGTGGCCATTGTCACCAAGCTTTAATGCAGAAAAAAAGACTAGACTGATCTCAGGAATTTAGGAATGTTAATTCCTATTCATCTTTAATTGTTTGATAGCACCAGCCTGGTAAAGAATTTGCTGATGGTGCAAGGAGAAATTATTATTTAGCTTTTGTGTAGAATGAAAGAAAGCTTACTCATGATAATCATAGGTAAGAGATGAATAAGAAGTTTAACCCTTTTACTCCTGTGAGTGACTGAGAAAAAAATTCTCCTTATTTTAGTATACAATAGTGTTCTCCTTTTCAGGCAGTAACCAGTAACATTTATGGCCTGTAGTACCTCTTATTACCATTTAAAATTGCTTGGAATTCTTGAAAATTCAACAGGTAAAAGGATTGCTTCACCGGTTTGAAAATTTATTTTACCTGTCATGCTTAAAATAGGGGAGAACACTGATACAATATCATGAAGGCAAGTGATGAGAATAAAGAAAAGTATCAGTTATGGGATTACTACTTGATCTGATACCAAATCCTCCAAACTAACATAATGAGAATCATTTGGCAGACAGTAAGGAGAATTACGAAAGAGATCTTGGGAGCTAAAGGGTTAACAAATATAATTATCAGTAACTTTTCATTGATTGTTTAAGTACAGCATTTTGTAGGAGAGAGACAGATCTAATACAGGGAATGAATGGAAATTAACACTGAAGTTACAAAATTTTCTATAAGAAAAACAAAAATGAAAAAAATTAATGAGCCAAGTATCCTTCCAGACAGAAGACACTAACAATGTTGTAATATTGTGTATAGAACTCTGTTCTTTACCACAAACTTGTTACAGAACTTTATTTTGGAAAAACTTTCAATAAAATAATTTTGCAGACAGCAATCCCTTAGTATTTATTTGATCTTACTTAAACTGGTTACCTAAGTATCAAATTTAATGAGGACATTGCGTGCACATGATTGTTTTCAGCTGTATCTCTCAGTTTTGTTAGTAGAAAGAAAAACTAATAAATTTTTTCCGTTTATTCTTAACCATCTTAAGACTGTGCTCAGGGAACCTACTGACAATGATTTTAACTTAATTTCTTGTGTCAATAAAAGACAGAAGTGAATACACTTGGGTTGTGTGTCATAGAACCTTTTGTTTCTAACTTGTATTTAACCTAATCTAAAAATTGTACAAGTTTTTGTTTGTATTTCTCAACAGTAAATGTCAAACTTTTTCCCTTAAAAAAAAAGCAGAGGCTATGCAGAGATATGGGTTTTGCTTTTCAATTTGACTGACTCAGCAACGAGTTATTCAAGACATAAGCTGGCGGTTCTAGGTATCGATAGTCTTTAAAGGGTGGATTATACTTGTGGAGGGCATTTATTGCACAAGCAAGAAGAAAATAAACTTCCCAGCAAAATGATCTGAATTTACCAATAAAATTAGTTTCATCATTCCTTATCAATGTTATTAAACATATGTTTTACTTCGCATTTGTACTTAGTTTTAAAAAAACAACAAGTGAATATCAATTTGCCCATTTTCAGTCAGACTACAGTTGAGTTAATTTATCCATCGATTCCTTAAGTCAGAACTTCTTTCGTTACACTGGCTTGAGAAACTAGAGTTGTCTTTGTCTGTTGAATGGGAGGTAAAAAGTGAGGTCTCTGCGGTTGACATCCAGATTGTTCGTAAATTTTCCCTCGGTGATCACCCACGTGCAAGTTGCTCCCGCCATGAGCTCTCAAAGTCTGTTTTCTCTCAAAGGACTTCAATCTTTGGTTTATTTCGACAGCCTCCCGAAGTAACTCATCAAGTTGCTCCTCCGAAAGTGAGTCTAAATTCTCCATTAGATTTTCGTAAGGTTTTTCGGCTAATCTAAGATTATTATCTCCCGCAGGGTTATGACAAATCTTTCACTCTGAACATCCGCAAAAGGGACACTTTACCTTGTTCTGCAAGCATAAACAAGTTCGTTCCTCCTGAAACAGTCATAAATTCCGGCAAGAAGTGTATGTTTATCCCCAACCAAAGGCTACAGCAAATGTCTGCTCAATTGCCGTGAGTCCTTCGCAAACACAAATAACAATGTTTACAATAACTTTTTCAACTCACGCCAGCTGTGAAGATCTCTTGTTCTCGGGTGCCTTGGTTACATCTCATTTTCAGCTTGGTTGAAATAGCCAATCAGAGTACTGGATATTTGCTCCTTTGGGAGTCTTCCAAATATGGACTGCAAGGACAAGGCAAAGTAGAGTTATGAATACTGCGCGCCAAAGAACGAAAGTTTTTAATCTTCAAGGAGACCCACATGAACAACTCATGCGGCCGATTTCAGTGTAGGGCACCCGAATTTCATATCCATAAACAAGGAGAATATAAAACTTTCTCTCCTCTCAGAGAATGGCTCTTTACCGTTAAAAAGTGTCAAAACTTGTGAATACTTCCAACAGTTCGAATATACATCATGGCGGAAGTGGGTATGTTTACTACTACAAATAAAGTAACGCAGAATACAACTCAGATCCACGAGCAGGACGTCGAATTTCGTACTGGAAATGATCCTTGCAAGCACATTTCAGTGACTGTTGAGAATAACGATGTTTTGGGTGAAAAACGTGATGTAAATTTCAACAACAAGACGGCATGTCCCAGAGGACCAGATCAGGGAAATGGAGAATATACTAACTCATGTGCGAATGAACCATTTCAGAGTGAAAATCTCCGGTGTGACACTCAAATTTCGTTAAATACCTCAAGTCTCACTCCGGTTTATCACTGTTCTGGTAGATCGGGATTTGCAGAACAGATGGAAACAGCACCAGCTATTACTTTTCCAGATACATCAACTGCAGATCCACATGGTACAGGTTTAATCACGAACACCTCAATGGTGGCCAACAATGACACAAAACCTCTTTATTTCACAAGATCAACAACAATCTCTACACCAGCTGAAAAAGATACCTCGCCCACTACTAACGTTTTGCCCACTATTCCCGAACCAGTAGTTTTAGGGATGATGCCTACCCCTGCATCTTCAGCCCAGATGTTGATTCAAGAGCGTGACTGTGTTGGTACAAATTCATCATCACCTCAAACTGTAATTCCTCAAAGTCTAACCCAAACGCTTATTTCTTTTCCAGAAGGTGTTTCAACTACTGCTGTAACACCAGAGAATCCCAATGCTGTTGCAGAAAATCCAAATTTAATAGCTCAGTCTACCTCAATATCAGCGACAGTCTTAACGGGGTCAAGCGTTTCATCTCTGGTAAATTCAAGTAGTTCTGTGGTGTTCACTACGACCTCAGAAGTGTCAAAAAATTTCGCTCCCGGAGTTCCAGTCCCGGATGATGGAACAGCCACTATAAACACCATCCAAACAGCTGCAAATTCTTGTGCTGAAAACAATGATTCAGCATCTGTTTGTAACAGTTCAAGTAATCTTCTTGATATTCCAACCATTTTTTCAAACTTTACACCGTGCATCAAATGTAATTCTATTCTTGTCTGTTCCTGCCCTGGACCATCCGGTGTTGGAGGGGATAATGGCAGTGTTCTTCCAACATGTCAAGCTTCCTGTCAAGGTCCTTGTACTTGTGAAGGGATGGAAGTGGATAAAAAAGAAGATTTGAAACCATTTGAACAGGATGTGAAACCTCAAGAATTTCCCACTCCAATTGTGGTAAGATTTGAAAGAAGGAGACAAATCATTTCTGTTGTTGTGTTTTTGTGATCTTGTGGACAGTGTTACACTAGTATTGCATTGTAATAATACTGTTTCCTTGACCCTGCCTTGCTCAAGCACACAGTTTTATAATGAGAGTTTTTTCCTTAATTTCCTTGTCGCCATGACTTGGCATGTAAAACTGATTTCATACTTAAGACTCTTATTCTTATTAACTTTACATCAATCTCCAAATACAGCTTAAGTACAGGGTTCTCAGTAGAATTTTGTAAAGCCATTGCTTTGGTAGTTACAGGCGTAACCCTAATATACACGCCCTTTGGGCGTGTAACTTGGGCCCATAGGGCCCAAGCTGCTAGGGGGGTCCGGGGGCATGCTCCCCCGGGAAATTTTTTATTTAAGATGCTCAGAAATGCTTTTTCCTTCATTTTGGGGGCATATTTTCTCATTTTCTCCAAACAAGTTTAAGTACATTTTGTAATCTGTTCAGTGGCTTTGAACTACGTAAAGTTGAAATTATCTCTTATCAAACTGAAAACTACACTGCAATATTCAATGAAATATTAACCTGCAATAACAATGCTTTGCTTTCTGAGTTAATGGCATTCATTTTATACAAAAATAATTATTAGGTAACCAGTCCTCTCCAAATGGGGGCACCCACTTACAAAAACTAATTCTCAAGGCCACACTGACCCAGTAACTGCTATATATCTAAATGAGAAAGAGTATAAGATAGCGCAAATATTTGTTAATGAATGAATCGGCCATGTTTTTGCACGTGGAAAGACGACATCTGCGAGAGGCCTGGGTTCAAATTTACAAATTCAATATGGCGGCCATATTCAACGTTGCGGAGACGTGAAGCGATTGTTCGGTTATTCTATGGTCTGCAAAAAGGCTATTCACTTTGACAACTAAAACCGAAGAAAGGTACATTGCGAAAGCAACTAACAGTCAATAGTTTACCCAGCAATTTACTCAAAAAGCCGTTCTTTTATTTGCATTTGATAGACGAATTGATCTACTGGTTGAAGCACTTTGACAGCCGTAACACTTACCTGTGACACCCGTGACAGGTGTTACGTGTTACGGGTTCAACTGAGAACCCTGAAGTAACAAGGTTTTATTTTATCCTCAGCCATTGGATCGCTTGGATCAGCTCTTTGATGGTTTGATTGAATATGACAAGATTATCAAAGCTGAACAGCCAGAGGTAAAAATATGTACAGTATTGTAAGTGTAAAATTGGTCTCGTGTCTTGGGTCATCTGTATTATTTTTTCTTGAGCAAGATGCTCACAGTACCTCAATACCCAGAGCTTTAAATAAGTATCAGTTAAATGTTAGGGAAATCTGAAAAAATCCTGGTGGAGAGAGGGTAGAGTGTTACCTTTGACAAAGGGAGAAGAAAAAGGGGAAGAAATTCTCAGAAATCTTATGTTACCAAAACTAAGATAAGCTGAGGGGCTGTTTTAAACAGGCTCACAAATTGACCTCTCCTTCACCCAAACTATGTTTATTTAATTAATTACATGTGCTTCAAATCCTGTTATCATTCATCACTCAGTAGTTCTGTGGAGTGGTAGTAACTGCACTAAATTGCTGACTTTATGCTTCTTCTTAACAAAATACAGTCTTTATTTTACTAAAAGGCAATTACCACAAGACTCTTCCCGTACCAGCTGCAAGCTCTAAACTGGATGATAACAAGAGAAAACAACACTGATCTAGCACCATTCTGGAACAAAGTTAACAATAGCACATGGTTTAACAAGGGAACCAACAAGACCACTGACAGAAAGCCACATTCTCCCAAGGGTGGCATATTGGCAGATGATATGGGTCTGGGTAAAACTCTTGTTGTTATCAGTCTGATTATGGCTAATCATCTTAATGGCAAGCCAATGTTTGCAAGGTCATCTAACAAGGTTTGTTACTTTGCGACTTTACCCTTTAACCCCCAAGAGTGATAAGTATTTAATTCTCCTAACAGTATCACCCCTTAATCAAACATGAAGGTTGTAAGAATAAAGGCAATGATCGCAAACTCAAGAAGTTCTTGATTGTTAATTCTCCTGGTAAGTACCATTGGAAATGTATAGAGAGCAGAATGGAGAATGTGTATACTGATGTTAGGGTGAGAATGGTAATTATGATTCAGCAAATTTTATAGCATTTCAGAATGTGAATGTTTAGGTTGCCATTTTGACTGAGAAAAATTTTGGCTTTTAATTTTGGGCATAAGTGACCAATTTGATGGTATGTTTTTGATGCTCATGTAGCATGTAGTGTATTGATTATACATGTACCTATCTTAATCATTGACAAAAACCTTAGTATGGGTTCTAAGGTGAGCACTTTGTACTTAATTCAGTAAATGTACTACTGGCAGTAATCCCTTTGTACTGGAAATACCTACCTGCTGTAAAATTACTAT